TACATGTTTGTGACTGTCATTGTATTTTTGTGAATGGGATTTTACATTTGTGACTATTTGTCTGCAGCTTCAGATTCAGAATACAGGTTTGTGACTATTATCTGCGAGTGCAAATTTCAACATTCAACTTCAGATTTTTGAAGTTGAACACACACACACACACACACACACACACACACACACACACACACACACACACACACACACACACACACACACACACACACACACACACACACACACACACACACACACACACACACACACACACACACAGAGGTGGAAAGAGTAATAAAATATTCTACTCAAGTAAAAGTACTACTACTTCAATTAAATTTTACTTAAGTACAAGTAAAAGTACTGGTCTAAAAATCTACTCAAGTAAAAGTAAAAAGTAGCTTACTGAGTAACTTTTTTAACAGCGGGGGTGGGGGACTCTCCCGTGTAGGGTTGTAATGGTATGAGATTTTCACAGTATGATAACGTCTCAGAAAATATCACGGTTTACAGTATTAATCAATTAATAAATAAATAAACTGTATTGTAAAATTATGGGTATTGTTATTATTATTATTTATCATCATCAGTTAAAATGACAGTTAAATTAAAGGGTCACTTCAGGATTTAGCATTAAGCTTTGTATCAGTAGAAAACCTGTAGTATTTTCAAATTACCGTGCTCATTTCTTCTACATAAATGACCCAGACCCATTTCAAATACACATTCATCTTTCCAGAGGTGAAGTGCCCCTTTAATGAAAACAGGATTTTTTTTTTTGGTTGAACAAATGCTTTTATTATAACAAACTTGAAACCATTTGTTTGTTTTGTTTATTAAAATTTCAATAAAACATGTCTAATCAATTAAATTTGATAATTGATAATGAATTAGATTAACAACTTATTTTTAACATTAATAATTTATTAAAATGTTTAAGAAAAATATTGTCCTATGAAATGTATTTTATTCAGAAAATTAATGTTTCTTTTTATGATTTAATCCAAATATATTATCAAAAACGGTTGTAATCAAATGTAAATTTAAAATTGTGTCCTTTTATTTTTGGGGGAAGCGCTGCAAAAACAGATTTACTAAATTAAACCATGGACAAAAACATATTCCTTTAAATAATGTTTAAATAAAATGTATTATTATTGTTGTTATTATTATTATTTAGAGAAGTAGGCTACGTTCTATTGTATGCCTATAATAATAGTAATATATTTCTGTCCTAATTTCTCCTAGTAAAACCAAACTTTTATTTTGACGGGTTGTAGTGAAGACCAAAAGTGTAAACAAGTGTTTCAAAGTGTATTTGACAATGGTTTATCTCAAATAAAATTATGAAAATGCTCATTAGGCGTTCTCTCAGAGCAGCTCTGGAAATGTTCATGTATTCATATCCTCAAATTGTTTGTGAGACTCTGAATGTCACGCGTACTTGAGTATGTAGTAGACAAAGCGGCGCAGCTCAGCAGAACAAATAGGGTTATATTTACATGCAGAATTTTTGTGCTAAGCTTAAATATTCACAGACCATGTCGCGATTGGATTTATTGCACAGTTCTACTTTCCATGTATTCATCCATCCATTATTTTGCGTGTTTTACGTGACATCTGCGTTATGTAAATTTTTATTTTCATGACTGGATTCCGGGGTTCCCTCTGCATCACGTAAATCGGGACATACATTTATCTGCAGGAGGGATGGTGTCCTATGTATCCTCCTTTTGCAGCCACTTTGCGTCCACATTTTTTGCAAATTGGATATCTATCCTCGAGGACAACCACGCTTTTTTTCTACAAAGTATTTTCATACTGGCCATAATTCGCTTGGCGCTTCGGTTTCAGCTTCAGCTGTGTCTGCGTCACCTTTTTTGCGCGTTTGTTCTCCCGCCCTTCAATCAATGCTGTAGTTTCCGGAGTGTTTTTTTTTTCTTTTATTATTTTTTACTCAGTAACGGAAATGATTTCAAATGTAGCGAAGTACAATACTTCAAAGAAAACATACTTAAGTAAAAGTAAAAGTACAGATTTTAAAAACTACTTAAAAAAGTAGAAGTACACAAAAAAACTACTCAATTACGTAACGCGAGTAAATGTAATTCGTTACTTTCCACCTCTGCACACACACACACACACACACACACACACACACACACACACACACACACACACACACACACACACACACACACACACACACACACACACACACACACACACACACACACACTCTTACTGAGGAGAGAAGTCCTGCTGAGATCAAAGCCTCACAACAGTGGAACATTAGATTTCATTACAGCTCACACACACTTCAGAAGGAGTCGCTGAGAACAGCAGCTCGAGCGACACACTGTTACTCTGCCCTTCAAAGAGCTCATTCCTCGAGGCGAGAGTGATCCAAAACAAACCCAACAGAAAACACTTTTCATATTAGACCTGTCGACCACAGAAGCTCCAGGGGACGTCCATCTTCTAGAGATTATCATCATCGCCGGCTACAAAGTCTATTCCATAGCGTTGGCAATGCATAATGCATACTTGTTGTTTTTATTCAAACTTGTACAATTAATATTTTGTACAATAACCATGCAATTGAAGCAATTTCAATTTCATTATGATCGAGAACCTGCTCTATGCATATTTGCAAACGCTTGGACAATGCATTACAACTACTCCCGATGTAGATATAAATATGATTGATATAAATCTGTTGACAATTCAGTATACTATCTATACAGTCCTCTTTGTGCTTCCATGAGAAAATGTCTAGACTTAATTAAATAGCCTGTGGTCGTTATAAAAAAATAAATAAAAAATAAATAAAATAAAATATATGAAATAAAATTTAATTAATTAATAAAAAATAAAAAAAAGATTTATGCCAGTACTGAGAATGTTTTGTGGTTGTAAAAATAAAGCATAATAAAGGAAGGAAATAAAATAATAAAAAGTCAAATAAAATAAATAACAAAAAGTCAAATAAAGTAAAAAAAAACAAACTAAAAATAAAACACAAAATAGCATTTTAAAAACAGTTGTGCCAGTACTGAGAATGTTTTGTAATAATAAAATAAAATGATAAAATAATCAAGTCAAATGAAAATAAAAATGACAAAACCTCCAATAAAATAATAAAACAAACTAAACTAAACTAAAATTTTTTTTTTTTTTTAAATTAAAAACAGTTTTGTGGTGAAAAATAAAATAAAATAAATATATACACTGTATATATATATATAAATAAAAAATAAACCAGTTTTAGGAACACATGTGCCAATACTGATAATGTTTTGTGGTTGGAATAAAAAAAGCTAACTCTAGAAACTACAAAATAAAACAAATGCGCCAATAATGAGTGTTTCAGACTTGAATTGACTATCATAAATGTCAGTCACTCTCAGCCCTTCGGTTGAACTAACCCGTCTGAAATCATGGGCTAAAGTTGACAACGGATGTCAAACGGAAGAGCCGAACTGATGCTTCGTGTCTCTGGTGCCCGTGAGGAAGAAGCGGCGGACTGTAAAGAGCCACTAGAGTGGGTGGATATAGTGAGCGTTTGAAGAGTAAACGCTCCCTGGACAATAAGAGACACACACACACACACACACACACAATCCTGAAACTGCCACGGGCTCTTCAAACAGCATTTCACAGAATCAAGCTGACAGTAAATCAACTGTGCTTATAAAGATCCGCGCCGACACACACTCTCTGATGTGACCAGACTGTCACTAGGCCAGTGGATATCCTTTTGTCTCGGCAATGAAGGAAAATATGATTTCCAGTTCTTAATAGGCACATCTGAAGTCACATTGTGCCATTTGAAAGGGCCGTTTTCGTCACTTGAAGATAAAAGCAGGTTAAAACTGACAGAAACGGGACTTTTGAACTGCCTTATACTTATTCTCATCATAACGGCTTTGATACGAGAGTCCGAGAGCATTAACTGGTTCTTACCTTAAAGCCCAGACTGCTGTTCATGGAGCCGAACTCCGGAGAACCGGGATTTTCACACGTCGTCCGATGCGGTTCTGCAGAGAAATCAGGATCACATCATCATTATCATCTCCTGCAGTGTTATATTCATAATCGGGTCAGGAAAAGCTGATGTAATGGTAGTGAACCACCAAAGCTGGAATGGATATTAAAAACAAAACTTGCAGCCAGAAATGTACCGTTTTAGAAATTAATGTATTTAACTTAAATTTATACAGTACTGTTCAAAAGATTTTTCGATTTATTTTTTTAAAGAAATTGATACTTTAATTTAGGGCTGTGCGATTAATCATAATTGATTTTCGATTTCAGCTTCTAATAATTATGAAAACAATTTAATGCGACCGTGTAACAGTATATTGGACCTGTGCATTCACTCTTAAAGTGACAGCAGCCTAATAAACCTGCTTTTCTTACATTAGTTAACCTAGTAGTATTTTTTACTGAAGCATCGATAATTGTGAAATTTCACTGATATTTAAAATTAATCATATCGTGAAATAAGACTTTGATCATATACCAATAATCGTGTTAAATAATCGTGATTTCAAAAATGATTATGATTTTTGCCGTAATCGAGCATCAGTAAGAATGCATGAAAGTGTCTTTAAGGCAAATCAATGTCAGAATGACTGAGATGGCCAATCAAATCAAAGGAGGCGGGACTTCACTGTTTACATGCAAGTTTAAACGTGATGATTTAGTTTTAACAGTGAAAAATAAGACTTAAGTAGCTAAATATGTATTATTTGGCAGCTGTTTTACGCAAGATATGTTCAACGACCGACAGTAATATACAGTGATGCAAACTACTAAACTATGAAATTTCAAGGTTTTAAACAGTTTTTTTTGTTGCTATTTATGAGTGTTTGATCAGTAAAGCTAACGCACCTATGCAGTGTGGGTCACATATATGAGTGTTTGGTAACGTACCTATGCAGTGTGGGTCACATAAATGAGTGTTTGGTAACGCACCTATGCAGTGTGGGTCACATATATGAGTGTTTGGTAACGCACCTATGCAGCGCGGGTCACATATATGAGTGTTTGGTAACGCACCTATGCAGCGGGGGTCACATATATGAGTGTTTGGTAACGCACCTATGCAGCGCGGGTCACATATATGAGTTTTTGGTAACGCACCTATGCAGCGCGGGTCACATATATGAGTGTTTGGTAACGCACCTATGCAGTGTGGGTCACATATATGAGTGTTTGGTAACGCACCTATGCAGCGTGGGTCACATATATGAGTGTTTGGTAACGCACCTATGCAGTGTGGGTCACATATATGAGTGTTTGGTAACGCACCTATGCAGCGCGGGTCACATATATGAGTGTTTGGTAACGCACCTATGCAGCGCGGGTCACATATATGAGTTTTTGGTAACGCACCTATGCAGCGCGGGTCACATATATGAGTGTTTGGTAACGCACCTATGCAGTGTGGGTCACATAAATGAGTGTTTGGTAACGCACCTATGCAGCGGGGGTCACATATATGAGTGTTTGGTAACGCACCTATGCAGTGTGGGTCACATAAATGAGTGTTTGGTAACGCACCTATGCAGTGCGGGTCACATATATGAGTGTTTGGTAACGCACCTATGCAGCGCGGGTCACATATATGAGTGTTTGGTAACGCACCTATGCAGTGTGGGTCACATATATGAGTGCTTGGTAACGCACCTATGCAGCGTGGGTCACATATATGAGTGTTTGGTAACGCACCTATGCAGTGTGGGTCACATATATGAGTGTTTGGTAACGCACCTATGCAGCGCGGGTCACATATATGAGTGTTTGGTAACGCACCTATGCAGCGTGGGTCACATATATGAGTGTTTGGTAACGCACCTATGCAGCGTGGGTCACATATATGAGTGTTTGGTAACGCACCTATGCAGTGTGGGTCACATATATGAGTGTTTGGTAACGCACCTATGCAGCGTGGGTCACATATATGAGTGTTTGGTAACGCACCTATGCAGTGTGGGTCACATATATGAGTGCTTGGTAACGCACCTATGCAGCGTGGGTCACATATATGAGTGTTTGGTAACGCACCTATGCAGCGTGGGTCACATATATGAGTGTTTGGTAACGCACCTATGCAGTGTGGGTCACATATATGAGTGTTTGGTAACGCACCTATGCAGCGCGGGTCACATATATGAGTGCTTGGTAACGCACCTATGCAGCGCGGGTCACATATATGAGTGTTTGGTAACGCACCTATGCAGTGTGGGTCACATATATGAGTGTTTGGTAACGCACCTATGCAGTGTGGGTCACATAAATGTGTGTTTGGTAACGCACCAATGCAGCGTGGGTCACATATATGAGTGTTTGGTAACGCACCTATGCAGTGTGGGTCACATATATGAGTGCTTGGTAACGCACCTATGCAGCGCGGGTCACATATATGAGTGTTTGGTAACGCACCTATGCAGTGCGGGTCACATATATGAGTGTTTGGTAACGCACCTATGCAGCGCGGGTCACATATATGAGTGTTTGGTAACGCACCTATGCAGTGCGGGTCACATATATGAGTGTTTGGTAACGCACCTATGCGGTGTGGGTCACATATATGAGTGTTTGGTAACGCACCTATGCAGCGTGGGTCACATATATGAGTGTTTGGTAACGCACCTATGCAGCGCGGGTCACATATATGAGTGTTTGGTAACGCACCTATGCAGTGTGGGTCACATATATGAGTGCTTGGTAACGCACCTATGCAGCGCGGGTCACATATATGAGTGTTTGGTAACGCACCTATGCAGCGCGGGTCACATATATGAGTGTTTGGTAACGCACCTATGCAGCGCGGGTCACATATATGAGTGTTTGGTAACGCACCTATGCGGTGTGGGTCACATATATGAGTGTTTGGTAACGCACCTATGCAGCGTGGGTCACATATATGAGTGTTTGGTAACGCACCTATGCAGCGCGGGTCACATATATGAGTGTTTGGTAACGCACCTATGCAGTGTGGGTCACATATATGAGTGCTTGGTAACGCACCTATGCAGCGCGGGTCACATATATGAGTGTTTGGTAACGCACCTATGCAGCGCGGGTCACATATATGAGTGTTTGGTAACGCACCTATGCAGCGCGGGTCACATATATGAGTGTTTGGTAACGCACCTATGCAGCGTGGGTCACATATATGAGTGTTTGGTAACGCACCTATGCAGCGTGGGTCACATATATGAGTGTTTGGTAACGCACCTATGCAGCGCGGGTCACATATATGAGTGTTTGGTAACGCACCTATGCAGCGGGGGTCACATATATGAGTGTTTGGTAACGCACCTATGCAGCGTGGGTCACATATATGAGTGTTTGGTAACGCACCTATGCAGCGCGGGTCACATATATGAGTGTTTGGTAATGCACCTATGCAGCGCGGGTCACATATATGAGTGTTTGGTAACGCACCTATGCAGCGTGGGTCACATATATGAGTGTTTGGTAACGCACCTATGCAGTGTGGGTCACATATATGAGTGTTTGGTAACGCACCTATGCAGCGGGGGTCACATATATGAGTGTTTGGTAATGCACCTATGCAGCGCGGGTCACATATATGAGTGTTTGGTAACGCACCTATGCAGCGTGGGTAAAATATATGAGTGTTTGGTAACGCACCTATGCAGCGTGGGTCACATATATGAGTGTTTGGTAACGCACCTATGCAGCGTGGGTCACATATATGAGTGCTTGGTAACGCACCTATGCAGCGCGGGTCACATATATGAGTGTTTGGTAACGCACCTATGCAGCGTGGGTCACATATATGAGTGTTTGGTAACGCACCTATGCAGCGCGGGTCACATATATGAGTGTTTGGTAACGCACCTATGCAGCGTGGGTCACATATATGAGTGTTTGGTAACGCACCTATGCAGCGTGGGTCACATATATGAGTGTTTGGTAACGCACCTATGCAGCGCGGGTCACATATATGAGTGTTTGGTAACGCACCTATGCAGCGGGGGTCACATATATGAGTGTTTGGTAACGCACCTATGCAGCGTGGGTCACATATATGAGTGTTTGGTAACGCACCTATGCAGCGCGGGTCACATATATGAGTGTTTGGTAATGCACCTATGCAGCGCGGGTCACATATATGAGTGTTTGGTAACGCACCTATGCAGCGTGGGTCACATATATGAGTGTTTGGTAACGCACCTATGCAGTGTGGGTCACATATATGAGTGTTTGGTAACGCACCTATGCAGCGGGGGTCACATATATGAGTGTTTGGTAACGCACCTATGCAGCGCGGGTCACATATATGAGTGTTTGGTAACGCACCTATGCAGCGTGGGTAAAATATATGAGTGTTTGGTAACGCACCTATGCAGCGTGGGTCACATATATGAGTGTTTGGTAACGCACCTATGCAGCGTGGGTCACATATATGAGTGTTTGGTAACGCACCTATGCAGCGCGGGTCACATATATGAGTGTTTGGTAACGCACCTATGCAGCGTGGGTCACATATATGAGTGTTTGGTAACGCACCTATGCAGCGTGGGTCACATATATGAGTGTTTGGTAACGCACCTATGCAGCGCGGGTCACATATATGAGTGTTTGGTAACGCACCTATGCAGAGTGGGTCACATATATGAGTGTTTGGTAACGCACCTATGCAGCGTGGGTCACATATATGAGTGTTTGGTAACACACCTATGCAGTGTGGGTCACATATATGAGTGTTTGGTAACGCACCTATGCGGTGTGGGTCACATATTTGAGTGTTTGGTAACGCACCTATGCAGTGTGGGTCACATATATGAGTGTTTGGTAACGCACCTATGCGGTGTGGGTCACATATATGAGTGTTTGGTAACGCACCTATGCAGCGTGGGTCACATATATGAGTGTTTGGTAACGCACCTATGCAGCGCGGGTCACATATATGAGTGTTTGGTAACGCACCTATGCAGCGCGGGTCACATATATGAGTGTTTGGTAACGCACCTATGCAGCGTGGGTCACATATATGAGT